GGCAGCCTCCAGCAGCCCTTATGCGGGCGGGTATGACAGAGGGCTTAGAGCATCCTGCCTTAGTGTCATTCATTTCACAATGTCACCCCAGGTCCATACTTCCGACCTGAGAGGCATTAGTAAAAGACATAATATCACCTATGAATAACTAAGATCACATATGAATAACTAATAACTACCACAGTTATATTTCTTTTTTTTTTTTTTTTTTTTTTTTGGAGACAGAGTTTCACTCTTGTTACCTAGGCTGGAGTGCAATGGCGCGATCTCGGCTCTCCGCAACCTCCGCCTCCTGGGTTCAGGCAATTCTCCTGCCTCAGCCTCCTGAGTAACTGGGATTACAGGCACACGCCACCATGCCCAGCTAATTTTTTGTATTTTTTTTTTAGTAGAGACGGGGTTTCACCGTGTTGACCAGGATGGTCTCGATCTTTTGACCTCGTGATCCACCCGCCTCGGCCTCCCAAAGTGCTGGGATTACAGGCTTGAGCCACCGCGCCCGGCCGTTCACAGTTATATTTCTAATTACTTTCTTCTTCATTATTTATATGGAAATAGGCTGAGGCCTTTTGCTCCTGCCGTGGCTTTATGGGATCTCCCCACTATAAATTTATGCTTTGCTTATGGAATTTTCCCCAACCGACCTCATTACAATTAACAGACCTCATTACAATTTCTAACCTTTTTTTTTTTTTTTCCTGAGACAGGGTCTTGCTCTGTTGTCCAAGCTAGAGTGCAGTGGTGCTATTGCAGCTTACTGCAGCCATAATTTCCCAGGTTCAAGAGATCCTCCCATCTCGGCTTCCCAAATGGCTCAGACTATAGGTGTTTGCCACTATGCCCAACTAATATTTGGACTTTTCCTATATGCAGGTTCCAGAGGACTGACTGTGAAACCTGAATATGCATGAATTTTGGTATATGCCGAGATGCAGGGCTGGAACTGACCCTCTCTTTATACTGAGGGATGACTGTATATACTTTCATAATTATGGTGTTCCATAACAATATGGAGCACATATTGTTCCATAGCCTAGAAGATGATAGCTTTAATGCCAAATAATTTTTAATTGAGTGGTATAAAATAATAATTAAAGCATCAGCTGGCCAGGCGTGGTGGCTCATGCCAGTAATCACAACGCTTTGGGAGGCTGAAGCAGGAGGATGGCCTGAGGCCAAGAGTCTGAGACAGGCCTCAGTAACAAAGGGAGTCACCATCCCTATGGAAAAATACATGAATTAGCCTAGTGTGGTGGCATGTGCCTGTAGTCCTAGCTACTTGGGTCCAGGGAGGCTGAGACTGCAGTGAGTCATAATCAGGCCTCTGTACTCCAGCCTCAGTGAGAGAGTGAGACCCTGTCTCAAAACAACAAAAAACTAGCACTAACATTAATCTTTTATCAGGTGCTTATAAATACATTTAATTTCTTATAGCTGTTTCTTATTTCATTTAACCACTCTGTCTTAAGTTACTCCCAGATTTTCACTGTGTGTGTGCAGATGTCCTTTTGTTTAGATTGAATTGTCTTCAAGGTATTTCCAGGAGGGAGATTACTGTGAGTCATGGTGAATGGACATTCTCATGGCCCTGGATATAAACTGACAAGGTTTTGGGTGCCTCCCAGCTATAATCCCAGCACTAAGGCTAAGGAGGGAGGCTAAGGCAGGAGGACTGCTTGTGGCCAGCAATATGGTGAGACACTGTCTCTATTATTTAAAAAAATTGCCAAGCTTTACCTTGGAAGGCTTATATACAATTTAAACACCCCTCTCCCCCACCATAGCATACGAAAGTGCCCATTTCATTATAACTTTGCCAGCACATGGTATAATACGTTATTTTTAAAAATTATTTTAAATAAAGACCTCATTTTGCTTTGTCACATTTCAACAGCTTTCCTTATCTTAGCTTATTAGCTCTATTTCTTTTCTGTCTGTAAATGGTTGTCTCTGTTGTTTTGTTCTTTGAGACAGGGTGTTGCTGTCACCCAGGCTTGACTGTAGTGGGGTAATCATAACTCACTGCAACCTTGACCTCCAGTCTCATACTCACCTCCCTCTTCAGCTTCCTGAGTAGTTGGGACCGCAGGTGTGCACCACCAGTCAGCTGATTTTTTTCTTTTTTTGGATAGAGACAGGGTCTTGCTGTGTCTCGCAGGCTGCTCTCTAGCTCCTGGCCTCAAGCAATCCTCCTGTATTGGCTTCTTAAGTTGCTGGAATTTCAGGCATGAGCCACCACGCCTGGCCTTGGCCAGTCCTGTATATTCTCTAGAGTTCTCTTTGCTTTGTGCTAGCCAATATCTCATTATGCTGTTCCCCTGTTATAATGAGTAATTCTTTGTATTAAACTTTACCACTTTAACCTTTTGAGTGGTTTATGTCTCCTGATTGGACTCTGACTAATACAGGGTTGATACTAGGAAGGGTTTCAGGAGACAGACCCACACAGATGGGATTTGGGCATCGGTTTGATTATCCAAGGGGCAGTGCTGAGCTCCTTGCCAATGGGAAATGGGGTGCTGGTGATTTTCAGGAAGTGACTCAAGCTACCACTTACTGCTGATTGTGATGAAATGCCAGCTCAGGCACATGCTTTGGGAGCAAAGTGGTTGCTGCACTTGACCACTATAATGACTGGTATGGAAAGGGTCCTTTTGGATGTACTTGAGCAGGGGTGCCCAACCCCTGAGCCATGGAGCTGTAAGGAGCCACCAGGCAGGAGGTGAGTGGTGTCTAGTGAGGGAGGCTTCATCTGTATTTACAGCCGCTCCCTGTTGCTCACATTCCTGCCTGACCTCTGCCTTCTCTCAGGTCAGCAGCAGTATTAGATTCTCTTAGGAGCATGAACCCTATTGCAAACCAGGCATGCGAGGGATCAAGGTTGTGCAGTCCCTGTGACAATCTAATGTGTGATGATCTGTCACTTTCTTCCATCACACTCACATGGGACCATCTAGTCACAGGAAAACAAACTTAACATGCCTACTAATTCTACATTATGGTGAGGTCTGTAATTATTTCATTATAGGTTACAATGCAATAAGGGAAATAAAGTACCCAATACATGTAATGTGCTTGAATCTTTTGGCTCCACTCCTGCCTGCTGACGGCCTCTCCAGACCCAGAACTTTTACCAGTTGGCCTCTACAGGCTGAGATCATGGCTCACAATGGTCTATTTACGCCCATATCCTACCTGATGGTCGTCTTTGCAGATGAGGCTACTGCCTCACAGCAGCCTCCACAGGCCAGGTTCACCGTTGTAGTGGCCTCTTTAAGCCCAGCACCTGCCTTCCAGCCTTGTCTCCAGGCCCAGGACGTTCTCAAGTCGACCTCGCCAGGCCCAGCTCCTGCCTTTCATTGGCCTCCCAAGGGCCAGCTTCTGCTTCATGGCCACCTTCCAAGACCCAGCTTCTGTTTTACAGCGGCCTCTTGAGGCCCAACTTCTGCCTCCCGGTGGCTCGTGCAGGCCCAGCTTCTCCCCTACAATAGCCTCTTTAGTCCCAGCTCCTGCCACTGGGTGGCTTACCTGGGCCCAAAGTGTCCACAAGTTGGCCTCTCAAGGCCAAGTTCTTCCTCCCAGCTGTGCCTAGAGGGCCAGCTCCTGCCTCATAACAATCTCTTTTGGCTCAGCTCCCGCCTGGCTCCTGGTGGCCTTTTTAGGCCTAAAACTGCCTCAAGTCAAGCTCTCCAGGCCCAGGTTCAGCTTCCCAATGGCTTGGACAGGCCCAGCTCCTGAGTGACAGTGGCCTCTCCAGCCCAGCTCTTGTCTCCGAGTGGCCTCTCCAGGCCCAGCCTTTGCCTTATGGAGGTCTTCCCTGAACAAGGGTCTACCTGCCTCCTGGCAGCCTCCACAGACCCAGGTCTTATCTCACATTAACCTCCTTATGCCTAGCTCACGGTGGCCTCTGCAGGCCCAGTTCCTGTCCCCTGACAGGCTGTCCAGGCCCAAAGCTTCCTCAAGCTGGCCTTTTTAGGGACAGCTCCTGCCTCTCACTGGCCTCTTTAGGCACAGCTCATGCCTCTCGGTGGCCTCTTCAGGCCCAGTTCCTGCATCCTGGTGGCCTCACCTGACAACTTTCTCAAGTCTGCCATTCCAGGTCCAAATCCTGCCCCCCATCGGCCTCTACAGGCCCAAACTCTGCCTCACAGCAGATTCTCCAGGCCCAGCAGTGCCCACAGTACAAGCTCCTGCCTTTCGGCAGCCTTGACGGCCGAGCTCCTGCCCCCGACATGCTCTCCAGGCTGGAATCTTCCGGAAGTCGGCCACTCCAGGCTGAGCACTTGACTCACCCTGGGCTGTTTAAGCCCAGCTTATGCTTCTTGGCAGCCTCCCCAGGCAAAGCTACCGCATGCTGGCAGCCTCTCCTGGCTCCCGTCTCCCTCTTCATGCCCAGCATCCGCCTCACCATGGCCCCACCAAGCCAAGCTCCTGCCTTTCGGCAGCCTCTACATGCCCAGTTCGTGCCACCCAATGGCCTCTTTAGGCGAAGCTCATGCCTCACAGGAGTTTTTCCAGACCCAGATTTTGCCTTATGGCAACTTTCCCTGGCCAGGTTGCTGCCTGTCCCCCAGCAGGCTGGGTAGGCCCAGGTCCTGCCTCACACTGGCCTCTCTACACAAAGCTTATGCCTCACAATAGCAACTCCAGATGCAACTTTTGTCCCAGAATGGCATCTCCAGGCCAAGAACTTCCTCAAGTCAGCCTCTCTAGGCCCACCTACTGCCTTCTGGTGGCCTCTCAACACCCAAATTCTTCTCAAGTTGGCCTGTCCTGACCCAGATCCTGCCTCCCATCGGCCTCTAAAAACCGAGCCTCTGCCACATGACGGCTTCTCCAGCCCCAGCTGTATGTCTTAGCTGACTATAGAGCACACCTGGTGCCTCATAAAGACCTCTTGTGGGCCAGCTCCTGCCCATTTACCATCAACCACTATAGGCCCAGACCGTCCTTAATTCACCTCTCCAGGCCCAACATCTGTCTCCCAGTGGCATGTAAAGGCCCAGCTTTAGCTTGAGAACACCCTCTGTAGAGCCCACTCATTACTTCTCAAAGGCTTTTGGAAGCCTTTTTGGACACAGCTCATGCCTCTTGTGGCCTCTCCAGCCTAGAGGCTGCCTCCTGGCATCCAGTCTGGGCCCAGCTCTACCTCCTGGATATATCGACAGGCCCACCTCTTGCCTCACAAGAAACTCTGTGGACTCAACTCCTGCCCAGCTCCTGGCGGCCTTTGTAGGCCCAAAATGTCCTCAAGTCAAGGTCTCCAGGCCCACCCAGCTGATGCCTCATGGTGGCCTCGCCAATGCCAACTCTTCCTCCTGTCTCCGTCTACAGGCCCAAGTCCTGCCTCACAACAGCCTCTTTTGTTTTGGCTACTGGCCAGCAGCTAGTGACCTTGCCTTTGTAGGCCTGAAGCTTCCTCAGGTGGAGCTTTCCAGTAGGAAAAGCAAAAGCAGTTCCTACCTTTTGCTTCCTGGTGGCCTTGACAGACCCAACTCCTGCCTGACAGTGGTCTCTCCAGGCCCAACTCTGGCCTCCCTGCAGCCTCCCCAGGACCAGCTGTTGCCTGGCGGCGGCTTCCCCAGACCAAGTTCCTGCCTGCCTCCTGGCTGCATCCACAGGCCCAGCTCCTCCCTCATATTGGCCCATTGAGGCTTACCTTATGCCTCTGGTGGCCTCTCCGGGCCCAGCTCTGGCCTCCAGTGTAGGCCCAGGTCCTCCCTCACACTGGCCCAGCTGCCTAGGTCCAGCTCATGCCTCTGACGGACTCTTCCGGGCCAGCTCCTGCTTCCCAGTGGCCTCTCCAGGCCCAAAGCTTCCTCTTGTAGGCCTCTCCAGGCCTGGCTCCCACCTGTAGTAGGGCCCTCCAGGCCCAGCTCTTGGCCTCACCAAGGCCTCTCTCAGGCCCAGCTGGTGCCTCTTTAGGCCCAGCTGATGCCTCCCGGCAGCCTTTCCAGGCCCAGCGTTGGCTTTCTGGCATCCTCTCCAGGCCCAGAACATTTCCAAGTCAGCCTCTCCGGGCCCAGCTCTTCCTCCCGGCTGCGTCTAAAGTCCCAGCTCTTGTCTCGCAGCAACCATGTTTGGCCCAGCTCCTGCCCAGCACCCTGCAGCCTCTGTAGGCCACAGCCTTCCTCAGGTTGGGCTTTGTAGGCCCACCTTTGGTCTTCCGGCAGCCCGGAAAGATCCAGCTCCTGCCTGACAACAGCCTCTCTAGGCCCAGCTCTTGCCCTCAATGTCGGCCTCCCCAGGCCATCTCTGCCTGCCTGTCTACCTGGTGGCAGCGTGCACAAACCCAGCTCTACTTTTCTGATGGCCTCTTGAGGTGCATGTCATGCCTCACCACAGCCTCCCCAGGCAAAGGGAGGCTCCTGCCTCTCAGCAGCCTCTGCAGGCCCAGTTCATTCCTCACAGTGGCCTTCCAGGCCAGTTCTTGGAAGACTTTTGGCGGCCCCTCCAGGCCCAGCTCATGCCTCTCCTGGCCCAGGTGCTGCCTCCTGGCGTCCTCTCCCAGCCCAGCTCTTGCTCCCAGCTGCGTCTACAGGCTCACTTCCTGCCTCACCTGTGTGGACTCAGTCAGCTCCCGCCCAGCTGCTGGCAGCATTTGTAGGCCTGAAAAGTCCTCAAGTCAAGCTCTCAGGCCCACCCAGCTCATGCCTCACAGTGGCCTGTCCAGGCCCAGCTCCTGCCCTCCAACAGCATCTCCAGGCCCAAAACTTCCTCAAGTCAGCTTCTCTCGGCCTGGCTCTGGCCTCCTCTCAGTGGCCCTGGCAGGCCTAAATGGCCCTGAAATTGGCCTCTTCAGGCCCAGCTCCTGCCTCCCAGAGGCCTCTCTGGGTGCAAAACTTTCTGACATGGGCCCCTCCAGGGCCACCTCCTGCCTCCCAGTGGCCTTCTTTGGCCCAGCTCTTGCCTCCCACCCGGCCTCTCCAGGCTCGGCCTCTGCCTCCCTCATGGCGGCTTCCCCAGGCCCAGCTCTAGTTCCCCGCTGGGTCTGCAGGCTCAACTCCTGCCTCACAACAACCACGTTTGTCCCAGTGCCTGCCCAGCTCCCAGCAGTCTCTGTAAACTTTAGTTTTTTTCAACTCAGGCTTTCAAGGCCTTCCTTCGGCCTACTGGCGGCCCGCACAGACCCAGCTCCTGCCTGACCACAGCCTCTTCAGCGCAGCTATTCCCTATAAGGGCCTTTTCTGGCCTTGTTACCACCTGTTTTTCAGGCATTTTGGCAGGCCTTTCATTTGCCTCACAGTGGCCTCTTCAGCCCCATCCTCTGTGTCACATCTGCCTCGCAAGATTCAGCTTTATTTTTTTTCACAGCAGCCTTTCCTATACCAGCTTGTGCCTCACCATGGCCTCTGCAGGCTTCTCTTCTGCCTCTTAGTGGACACTCTAGGCTCATCTCCTGCCTTCTGGTGGTGTTTTTGCCCTGCACTTGCCTCACAGTGGCCTCTTCTGGATCCAGCTCTATAGGTCTTTGATCATCAATAGCATCAAAAAGCCCAAAGCTTCCCTGGACTCTCATTTGTTCACTTTTTAGCAGTGTGCCTTGGCTAAACACCTGTCTCCACTTTTAACCTTGTGAGTGTATTTTTGACAGATTTGTAGTAAATTCTGCCTATGTCTTTTTACAGTGATGTCTCTTTTATTTAGTGTCTCATGGTTTTTCTTGTCTTCTGGGGGTTCGGAGGGGAATGGGCCTCTGCTTGGGCTGTTTGTCTTTGCCCTGGACATGGTAGCTTCTCATTTCATGTCTTCTTTTTTTATGTTTTTTACAGTTAACTTTTTTTTTCCTTAGCGTCTTGCTCTGTCACCCAGGCTGGAGTGTTGTCATGTGATCATGGCTCCACTGCCGCCTTAGCCTTTTGGCCTCCACTGATTTTCCCAAGTCAGCATCTTGAGTATTGTAGACTACAGGCATCTGTCACCATCCCTGACTAATTTCTGATTTTGTTTGAGAGGTTGGTTCTCACCCTGTTGCTTAGGCTGGTCTTAAACTTTTGGACACAAGCAATCCTCTTGCCTGGGCCTCTCAATGTGCTGAGATTACAGGCATGAGCCATCATCTGTGGCCTGTCATTTGCTTGCCATGAAGTATTAAGAATTTACTTTTTGATTACTATGATTATATACATTTGTGAATAAATAAAGTTTTCTGGGATACCAATTTTTTCTTTTTTTTTTTTTTTTTGAGCCAAGTTAATACTTTGTCATTCAGGCTGAAGTGCAGTGGTGTGATCTTGGCTCACTGCAGCCTCTGCCTTCTTGGCTTAAGTCATCCTCCCACCTCAGCATCCTGAGTAGCTGGGACCCTAGGTACAAGCCACCATGCCCATCTAATTTTTATATTTGCTGTAGAGAGGGGTTCTCACCATGTTTCCCAGGCCAATTTCAAACTCCTGGGCTCAAGTGATCCTCCCCACTCAATCTCCTGCTGTGCTGGGATTACAAGTGTGAGCCACTACACCTGGCCTCCCATTCTCTTTTCATGGATCATTAAGAATTTAACTTTTAATTAGTATACTATAAATATATATATATATATATATATATAGATGTGTGTGTATATATTTATATGTAAATATATGCATGTATATATTTTCATAGCATACACACACTCGCACATACACATTGTGAAAGAGATTTTCCATACCTAGAAATTGATAAGCTTCTTCCAGCTTTTGAAAGTCCATATGTTGTTCATGGATTACACTTTGAGAGCCACTGTTTCAATAGAACTACTTGGCTTAAAGAAAAAGAAAAAATTCCTTTGAACATCCAGGCAAAAAGTCATATTATTCCTAAGAAAAAGAAAATTAGTTTAAACTCAGACATTTTGACAGAAGTGCTTTACGCTAGAAGAAAACAGAATCCTATACTTACTTAATATTTCTAGAAACAAAATTTATGCCAAGTATTTTATATCCAGCCAAACTGACCTCAAATTATAAAGGCCACATTCAAGTTTATGAACATACCAGACCTCAGAAAATTTGTTGCGATAAACCTTTTCTAAGGAATCTACTACATAACAAACTTAAGCCTGCCAAAATGATTTGAGAGGTATTATATAAAGATGGATATTGGGCATATAATATACTTGCAGTACAACCAAGACCATATGATAGAGTGAAGAAGTCAATATAGTATATAATAGTGTTGTGTTTGACTATATAGCTATGGGACAATGACAAAAAAAATTCAGAGGAAATAGGAACAGTATTGTATTGTGATGGTTAATTTTATGCTTCAACTTGATTGGGTTAAGGGATGCCCAGATAGCTGTTAAAATATAATTTTGGGTCATGTCTGAGAAGGTGGTTTCCAGAGGAGATAAGCGTTTGAATCTGTAGACTGAGTAAAGAAGACCAGCCCTCACCAATGTGGGTGGGCATCATCCAGTCTGTTGGGGGCACATATAGAACAAAAAGGTTGAGGAAAGACGTTTGCTCCCCGTTTGAAATGGTACATCCATCCTCAGACATCACTACTACTGGTTCTCAGGCCTTCAGATTAGGACTTAAACTATTATTGCCTTCTTTCCTTCCCTTGCCCTCAAGTTACTTAGGCCTTTGGACTTGGATCGAACTACACCACTGGCTTTCCTGGTTCCCCACTTTGCACAAGGTGGATTGTGAGACTTCATGGCACCTATAATCACATGAGCCAATTCCTCTAATAAATCTATCTGTCTATATCTATATCTACATCTATATCTATACCTATACCTATACCTATACCTATCCTCCTACTGGTCTGTTTCTCTGGACAACCCTAAGACTAGTATATAAAAAATAGAACAAACTTTCTCATTGAGAAAAAGACATGCAAGGCAAATGCAAAAGAAATAAGTGTTATGATATATTGATATTCAACATCTTAATTAAGATGAGAAGCAATTAAAAGAACAAAGGAGAGTTCATGTTTACTGCTATAATATGCAATGAAGATATGTTATTAATATTTTTGGCTATTTTAAAACATCTCTCCCATACCTACAGAAATCAAATGGACCAAAAAAATGAATAAGGATGTAGAAAACCAGTGTTATCAGTAAGCTAGAACACAGAAGTATATATTGAAGTTGGAAAATCCAATAATGAAAAATTTGCCTTCTTTTCAAGTGCACATTGATCTTTCTTGTATTAGTCCATTCTCGCTGCTATAAAGAGCTGCCCAAAACTGGGTAATTTATAAAAGAAAGAGGCTTACTTGACTCACAGTTCCACATTCCTGGGGAGGCCTCAGGAAACTTAAATCATGGCAGAAGGGAAAGCAAACACATCCTTCTTCACAGGGCGGCAGGAGACAGAAGTGCGGAGCAAAGTGGGGAAAAAGCTCCTTATAAAACCATCAGATTTCATGAGAACTCACTCACTCTTATGAGAACAGCATGGGGGAAACCTCCCCCATGATCAACTACCTCCCACCTGGTCCCTCCCATGATACATGGGGAAGATTATGGAAACTACAATTCAAGATGAGATTTGGGTGGGGACACAGCCAAACCACATCAATTATGAAATGAATGTATCTTGTACCACAATAAAAACCTCACTAAATTTAAAATATCAGAAAAAACATCCACAGCATTCTCCAACCAAAGTAGGATAAAGCTAGAAATCAATAACCATACAATAATAAAACAAAACACTTTTGGCCGAGCGCGGTGGCTCAAGCCTGTAATCCCAGCACTGTGGGAGGCCGAGGCGGGTGGATCACGAGGTCAAGAGATCGAGACCATCCTGGTCAACATGGTGAAACCCCGTCTCTACTAAAAATACAAAAAATCAGCTGGGCATGGTGGTGCATACCTGTAATCCCAGTTACTCAGGAGGCTGAGGCAGGAGAATTGCCTGAACCCAGGAGGCGGAGGTTGCGGTGAGCCGAGATCGTGCCATTGCACTCCAGCCTGGGTAACATGAGCGAAACTCTGTCTCAAAAAATAAATAAATAAATAAATAATAAAAATAAAACACTTTTAAAATAATATGTGAATTTACAAGGATCCTATGAAACCACCATTGGATCAGAGAGGAAATATAGATACAAATTGCAGAATGTCTTTGAAATGTCAATAATAAAAATGAAACTAAACAACCAGGATGGGTAGATATCAAACCCATCTCTGCTCCAGGATGACAGTGTGTCATGTGAGGCACTAATCCCCGCTGAATGAATCTCAGCCAGGCACTGGCACCGTCTGCTTCTACTGCCCTAGCGTCTGTCTTGCTTCAGTGACACCAGTGATTACACTGTTTCTCAAGACCAAATGTCTTTCTCATCGTGCGTGTTGGGGACATGGGCAATGATTCACATGAAGGCCAGTAGTTCCTGCCCTGGCACCAGCATTGGCCTCAGCTATGTCCATGGCTCATTCAAGTATACAGAGCATGGGGCATGCAGGGGTCGGGGCTCTGCCTCCTTTCTTCTCTGTCATTGATCAGGATTATGACCTTGATCCTGTGCAATAAGGCCTGTCCTTCAATTCTCTTTGTGATCATCCCACCCTAACAACTCAGATTTTTAAAATATCAGTCAGGGAGATCTCAACCTGCATACTGGAATCTTCCTCTGCCGATGCTTTTGCTCCCCTTGGAAAAGTCAGAAGCCAAGGCCAGCATTCAGGTAGAAAGGGTGTTTTAGCCCCAAATATGTCATTCTTTCTAGGTTAGCTTGGAAGAGGTCAAGAGGAACCCATCAGAACATTCCGATGCTCACATTTTAAATTTCGCTGGAGGCAGATGTACAAGCATCCTCTGGAACGGAAGGGGTGGCAGAGTCCTTTCCTGCAGCAGAAGAGGGAGCATTAGCTTCATGCTTCAATGAGAAAAGCAGAGAGGCAGGTGGCACCCCAGGGAGTTCCAGACAAGGGACTGACATAAAACCACAGAAAAAAATACATTTTCTAAGAACAAAAACTCTATGTAGAGCTGAGACCTGCATACTGCCCTCACCAACCCACATGTAAGTGTCTTCTTTTAGGCACACAGGCTTATCCCAACGTTATAACAACACTTAGATACAGCAGATACCTGTTGGACAAACAGAGAAATGCCAGGAATGCAAGTACACATCACAAAACCAGGTGAGAATGCAGAGAAGGTGATCATCTGCAAGCCAAGTCGGTAAGCCTGGGCAGAAACCAGCCCTACTGACACCTTGATCTCACACTTTCAATCTCCAGCACTGTGAGAATGTAAATTTCTGTTGTTGAAGGCTTCTCACCTGTGGTATTTTGTTATGGCAGCCCTAGCAAAAGGCTACAATTCAAGGTTATTTTTCAGATTTGGAAACACAGGACCCTTCTTTGTCTTCATGCCCTCGCAGTTCTGGTTCTCTGCCTTGGACACATCCCTTGTCCACCCAGAAGGTGTAGCCTTCACGTCTTCTTTGAATCCCTCCTAGACCACACCAAGCAACTGGTGGGTCCTCTGTGCTGTCCAAGCACCTGAAACCACACATCTGTAAAGCACTCATCACAGTGAAAAGAAAATAATTGTTTATATGACTATCTCCCTCATTAAACGATCACATTCTCAACAGCAGAGACTGTCTTGTATTGGCCTGCAGGTGCACAGAATGATACTAATCCTCATCTTTTGTTCATAAACATTTGTCACTGGTTCATACATGGTTTTAAAAAGAAACTAGGTATTTTTTATTTTATCGTTTTTTTTTTGTTTTTTGGGACAGGGTCTCACTCTTCTCCTAGACTGGAGTGCTGTGGCTCAGTCTCGGCTCACTGCAACCTCTGCTTTCGGGCTGAAGTGATCCTCCCACCTTAGCCTCCTGAGTAGCTGGGACTTCAGGCACACAGCACCATGCCTGGCTAATTTTTGTATTTTTTGTGGAGATGAATTTTCGCTACGTTGCCCAGGCTAGTCTCAAACTCCTGGGCTCAAAGCCTGCCTGCCTGGGAATTCCAAAGTGCTGGGATTACAGGCATGAGCCACTGTACCCCCTAGCCTTATGTTTAATAATAGGCAACCATGAACCCATTAACTAGACGACAGCTGAAATGTAATATCTAGCTATATTATCAATCTTTGTCCGATAATAAACATCGTCCTGAGTCATATTCAGGACTTGTTTGCCCTTGCTATCCTTTTATGTGATTTAATTACTATAGGTATCTATAGGCATATAGATACATATTTCTATAGATATCTATTTACAGTAATTATATATAATATACATATATTTCTAGGAATATAAATATTTCTAGAAAGAATATGAGTCTAATTTAGATGTTTTTAATATTATAAGATGGGTATCATCCTATATGTAGTCTTTTGTTTTAATTAACCTTCCATAGCTAAAATTCATCCATATTGTTGCACACGGCTGATTCTATGTTATTATATGAATAGACATCACTTTAGTCACCTCACACTCAATTATTAGGCGTTTCTTTTTGTTTAGGTCTTGCTACTCTGAATAGCCCTGCTATAGACTTTCTTACACATGGTGCCTTACCTATGTTGTAAACATGTATATGTTTACATGTGTAAGAGTTTCTCTTGGGTATTGTGGTAGACAGAATGTTCCCTGCCCCAAAGATGGTCACATTCGAACTCCCAGAACCTACGAATATGTTAGTTTACATGGCAAAGGAAAATTGAGTTTGCAGATGAAATTAAGATTTCTCATCAGTTGATTTTGAGATGGGGAGGGTATCTGGATTATCTAAACAGGATCAGTGTGATCACAACAATTCCTTATAAGCGGAAAATGGAGGCAGAAAAGAGAACTGGGGAGAGGTCAGCGTGAGAAGAAGTTGGCCTGATGCTGAGTTTGAAGATGGAGGAAGGGAGCATGCACCAAGGAAGGTGAAACATCTCTGAAATCTGGAAAAACCAAGAAAATGGAATGTCCCTTCCTGCCTCCTGCCAGCACTTTGATGTGAGCCCAATGAGAGGTGTTTTGGACTTCTGACTGCAACCGTAGAGTAATAAATTCATGTAGTTTTATGTCACTAAGTTTGTGGCAATTGTTACAGCGGCCAGGGAAACTCATACAGTAGATAATTACGAGTAGCAGAGGCAGCCAACATGGTTTCCAACTATTTGCCCTCTTAATAGCAGAGTTTGAAAGTTCCTTTTTGCTCACATGCTGCAAACACTCAATGTATCAATATTTGTAATGATGTCCTTCCTGGAAGGTTATAGAATTATCTCATTGTGATCTTAATTTGCATTTTCTAGATCATTAACCAGTCTAGCACATTTTTACATTTTTATTGGCCACTGAAGATCCTCTTTGTTGGAGGAATCTGTTCACCCCTTGTGCTCATTTCTTGGTTGATTGTGTCTCCTTTTTCCTACTGATGTGTAGATGTGTTAAATATGTTCTCAGATCGATGGGGTTTTCAGTTATAGGTATTGCAAATATCTTTTCCAATTCTCATACCTGTGCCTTCTGATTCACAGACATTCTTCATTTTCATGTTTAGTTAGTGCTGGAAATCCGCACGTGGGTCCCCGGTTCTGGGGCATTCTCAGGGGCATTCAGCAAAACAAAGTGAAGAATTTCTATGAAGCTGCATCTGCCCTCACAGCTCAGGGAGTCAAGGGCTGGTGACCTGGGAAACTATGGGAGGGACAGGGAGCATCTCATTCACAGCCCCATCCTCCAGGGAGCAGGCCGTTGGGGGCAGTATGGCAATGTGGTACCTTTCTTTTGACCCTGACACGGCTGCTTAACTGTCAGGGGTATAACGTAGGGCCACAGAGATTTTTGTGGATTATGTTAGCACTGTGTATAGAAAAATACATGTTGGCTCAGGAATAAAAAGAAGACTTGGAGCTCTAGGGAGATTATCACAAAAAGGGGGCCCTGCTGAAAATCATGGATGACTTTTCAGAATAGGAGAGTTTCCAACCTGATGGAGTTCAATCCCAGACTCAGGCCCTCTTCAGAAGGAAAGCAACAGCATTCCCACATGGTGCTGTATTCAGGCTCTGGCTCCAGCTCCAGTTCCTCTTTCCTCAAACAGAAGAATGACCTGATAGAGAAATCGAGAACATAAATCATGAATACTCAGCCCTGTAGGTGAAGAGGGATAATCGTTCTCAAGAAAGACAGGAAAAGGCCAGGCGCAGAGGCTCACACCTATAATCCCAGCACTTTGGAAGTCTGAGGTGGGCAGATCACTTGAGCCCAGGAGTTCAAGACCAGACTGGGTAACATAGCAAGACCCTGTTTCTACAATAAATACAAAAAATTAGCCAGGTGTAGTGGTGCATGCCTATGCTCCCAGCTACTCAGGAGGCTGAGGTAGAAGGATGGCTTGAGCCCAGGAGGTCGAGGCTGCAGTGAGCTATGATCACATCACTGCACTTGAATCCTGGGTGACAGAACAAGACCCTGCCTCAAAAATAAAAACTAATAAAAATAGAAAAAGATACTCTACTTTTGTATTTTGGAGTTAAAGGCTGAGCTGGTTAGAACTAACCTGAGTTCATTCATCAACTACAAAAACAGAAATGTAACATACAAAACAGGATGCCATGCCTGTGGCCCAGGGCAGCAGCTGAGTGACCCACAGCAGGAAAGTTGCCCTCCATGGTTCCATCCTTTTATCAGCCCTGGTCCTCATCAACCATGGAGAGGCTTCTGGTGTGATGGAGGGCTGACCGGGGCTTAACTCTCCATGCCTGCTAGCTCACAGCCCAGCCTGACTGCTCAGGTCACAATAGGGAATGGGTGGAGCCCCACAGTCTAGACAAAGCAGCTGGGGTCGCCCTGAGCTCTGTGGGGTGTGGAGGTCAGGATGGAGCTGGGGGTGAGAGGCTCAGAGTGGGAGGACTCCCCAGCCAGCTGTGCTCCTCTAAGAGGCAGCGTCTCAGATTCATGAATGTGTCAGGACAAAATAGCTAGAAGTGCACTCTAGGAATAGAGGATTGAGTGGGGAATGAGAAGGACTCTGAGGCTGCTGCTCCAAACCACTCAAGTGAAACAGCAGAGAGGGCACTGGCTGTGTGACCTTAGCAGAGCCCCTCAGCTCTGTGCCTCTGATGACTCCTCTGTAAAATGTGGATGATGATAGCGCAGCACTATAGGGTTGAGAGGAGTAATGAGCTGATCCATGCCACAGCATGTGGCAAATGCCAAGCCCACGATTTTAATTCTCCAATTTCATTTCTACTAATGTCTTCCTGCAAAGGAAGGCACCTTGGCCAGCAGTTTCTATGAACAAAACATGCCCAAAGTATACATCCATACCTGGATCAGCCGCAGGGTAGCTTTTGGTGATGCAATTCTTTCATTTCGTTGTTCCTGAGGTCATCCAGAGCTCTTTGGAGCACTTTCTACGTGCCAGGTTTGGAGGACAATGTAAAGATGAACCATAGATGTTCTCTCTTTGAAGCTCATCATCATCTTGGAGAAACACATTGGCAAAGAGACTACCATAATAGAATGAGGTAAGAGTATCATTGGCGGCCAGGGGAGGGGCTCGGGTGTGTGGTGGGTGGGAGAAGAGGCCATGGGGAAAATTGTCTAGAGGAAATAAGGTTTGTCTGGGCTAAGTCAATTCCCAAAGGGAAAGGCCTGGGGGAAGGACAGGAAGGCATCTGTTACAGCTTAAGTGATGGTCCCCCAAATTCTTAAGCCGATGTTCTATTCCCTAGACCTAAAGATGTGATTTTATTTGGAAGTAGGGTTCTTGACGTTGTAATTGATTAAGAGGAGGTTATGCTAGAGTAGGGCAGGCTCCCAATCCAATCTGACTGGTGATCTTATAAAAAGAGGCCATGTGGATCCATTCACCCACACAGGGAAAGCCCCATGTGAAGACTGGAGGTGCACTGCCACAAGCCAAGAATCTACCAGAAGCCAGGAGGGAGAAGTGGAACGGATCCTTCCCAGCACCTTCAGAGGGAGCACAGTCCTGCTGACACTGGGATTTTGGACTTCCGGCCTCCAGAGCACCTGATAATATTTCTGTTGTTCTAAGCCAGCCAGTTTGTGGAACTTTGCCACGGCAGCCCTGGCAACCCCAAGCAGCATTCTACCTGGGCCAAAAATATGTGCAGAGGTCCAGAGGCGTACGGGAACTGCAGGAATTTGTGAGTTAAATCAGAATAGAATTGCTGTTTGGGTCGTTCAAAATAGGAGAATATTGACAAATTTGCATGGTTCAAGTTAGACTATCAAGTTGGAATAATGGACCAGGTTGAGTGCTAGGTGTGTGTGAGGGGTCAATTTACTGAACAAAGCTCAAATCTGAATAAGCAATCTTCTTTCCTATGTGGCCAATGAATCATTCTATAAGAAATCACCGTGGCTGTGACAGGCGTAGGAAGGACAGCTAGGATTACTAATTAATGGCAAGGAGCTACGGTTGCAAACATTTTCCAAACTCTATCCATATTCTATTTTAGGAAAAATGACTGACTATGGGGCTTTCTTTTTCCCGCTATTTTGAGGCTTTAAAATTCATCTTAAAAAGAACTATCCCATCAGAATAACTGAAAGACAGGCAGTTTATGCATTTTATTGGATGTGGAGTTTTTATCAGAACCAGCATTTACTGTGCTTCTCATAGCTGTAAGCAAAACATTAGAATTTAGCAGCTAATGCTTATCTTTCCTCTGCCAAGTGGGGTCCTGAAAAGGGAGAGAAAGCCTCCTTTCCTCTGTTCTTTGGAAATAGCATGTATTTGGGCTCAGTAAAACCGTCTCATCGCTGCTCTAAGTGTTTGCAAACTTTTGGGCACTGGAGGGCACAGGCATATGAGATGGAACAGGGTGTAGATAAAATAATTCCTGCATTACCTGCCATCCTGCCCAAAGAAATCACACAACTTCCATGGCAGTCCCAGACTTCAGAAAGGGAGAACACAGCAAGCACCTGAATTATCTTCAGTTCGACCCCAAATCATCCAAACATTGCCTAGCATAGAAGTGGATGAATTCACATTTTAATCAAAACAGGATTGCATAGAAACATACGTCCATACGAAAACCAGTACCCAATGTTTATGGTGGCTTTCTTCTTTTTTTTTTTTTTTTTTTTTTTTTTGGGGACGGGGTTTTACTCTTGTTACCCAGGCTGGAGTGCAATGGCGCCATCTCGGCTCACCGCAACCTCCGTCTCCTGGGTTCAGGCAATTCTCCTGCCTCAGCCTCCTGAGTAGCTGGGATTACAGGCACGCGCCTCCATGCCCAGCTAATTTTTTGTATTTTTAGTAGAGACGGGGTTTCACCGTGTTGACCAGGATGGTCTCGATCTCTTGACCTCATGATCCACCCGCCTCAGCCTCCCAAAGTGCTGGGATTACAGGCTTGAGCCACCGCGCCCGGCCAGTGGCTTTCTTCTTAATTGCTAAAAACTGGTAACGACCTAAATGTCTGTCACCAGAGGAAGGGATGTACAAACTGTGCTGCATCCACACAACAGTGGTGCCACACAGCAGCAGAGAGGGACAACCAACAGACACATAAGCAACTCAGGTCTCAGGGGTATCGCACCGAGCTGGAGAAGCCAGCCACAAGCCACTGCATGCTGTATGATTCCATGCATATGTGGCATTCTGGGAAAGGCAAATCTCCAAGCAGTGAGAAGGTATCAGTTTTTGCCAGGGTTTGAGGTGTGGGGAAGAGGATGGATTATTAAGAAGCACAGGGGAATGTTTTGGGGTGATGAAAATGTTCTATGTCTTTTTTTTTTTTTTTTTTTTTTTGGAGACAAATTTCACTCTTGTCACCCAGGCTGGAGTGCAATGGCGCGATCTCACCTAAGATCACTGCAACCTCCACCTCCCAGATTCAACCAATTCTCCTGCCTCAGCCTCCTGAGTAGCTAGGATTACAGGCACCTGCCACCACGCCCAGCTAATTCTTGGATTTTTAGTAGAGACAGGGTTTCATCATGTTGGTGAGGCTGGTCTCAAACTCCTGACCTCAGGTGATCCTCCTACCTCAGCCTCCCAAAGTACTGGGATTACAGGTGTGAGCCACCATACTTGGCCAAGGTTCTATGTCTTAATTGTGGTACTGGTCGCAGACATTTACATTCATCAGAATTCACAGAACCATCCACCTTAAAGCGGTGAATTTGCTGAATAGAAATTATACCTCAAAGACCAGATGTTTAAAAACCCTTTGTGTTTTGTGAGCTTCAACACTTGCCCACTGGGAACCACAGAAGCGTTGCCCAATTTGTTGAAAGCACTGCTGCCGTAACTTCATCACGTGGGGAGAAGTGATGCTTTCACACTGTCTTCATCTGCTCAGGCCACCATTACACAACGCCATAGACTGGGCCGATTGATCAACACACATGTATTTCCCACAAAGGAGGCTGGAAGTCCAAGACCCAGGTTCCTGGGGAGGGCTCTCTTCCTAGCCTGCAGGTGACCAGTGCCTGCTATGTTCTCTTATGATCCTTCCTCAGTTTCTGTACCAGAGGAGTCAGAGGGACAAGTGGGCATCCATCTTATAGGTGTCCTCATAAAGACACCATCCTATCAACCAGGACTCCACCCTGTATCTCAGTTAACCTTAATAGCTTCCTCGGTGGCCCCCTCTCCAATTATAGCCAGGGTTAGAGCTTCAGTGTGCAAACTGATGGGCCACACAAATCTTTGTCCATAACAAATGTCCAGCGGACAGGACACTCAGGTGCCCTAAGGCTGCAGGAGCTGAGGGTGATCTTGCTCAGGTACTTCTGGTTGGTAACTGCTGTGTGGGAAAAAGTCTGTCTCTCCTGGCTGGTGTCAGGAGAGACCAGGCTGAAGCCGTGCAATGACAGAACCTGTGCCGGGAAGAAAGTCCTGTTTGAGACTAACCTGAAAGCTCTCCCAGGGGACAGCAGGTAAGCGTGGCTCCTTGAAGGTCCAGAGGGAGAATGGGCTTCCCTGAAAGAGCTCACTGGGGCTGCACAGGGAGGGAATGAAGGGGTGGATGGGACAGGGACAGGAGGGAGGGCCGCAGCTCTGCCTGACACTAGCCTCTCTGCCCAGCAGTTCACAATTGAACCCTAGCCCCCTCCAAGGCTGAAGAGAGGGTCCCCCTAATTTGCTGTGGCTCTGGGGACCAGAGGCCCTGCTGGGATGTCCTGGTAAGCAAGGGGTCACTTGGGGTCTGTGCTCTGAACTTCAGGCCAGGGATCGTGGGGAGTCAGGGCAGGACTTGACTTGAGGGCCTGTGGTTCCTCACCACTCTCTGCATGCTAGTTTATGTCCCAGTGGCATCTGCGGCCAGTGAAAGCCACACGTCAACACAAGCCGTGGTAGGAGAGGGGAGCTATTTGGGGCAGGAGGCAGACTAAGAACTAGACTCTGCTCCCCGTGGGTTTCAGCCCATTTCTTTTCCCTTTTGGGTGTCAGCTGTGTCCTAATTCTTCCCTGCACAGGGCAGTCGGATCTTTGCACGCAGCACAGCAGAGGTGCAACTCCTGAGGTAGCCATTCCACCCTGGGCAGGGCGGCCAGGTGGGGGCCCCGGACTTGTGTCCAGGAGGGCACTGTCTGTGTGCCATGGTCCATCAGCCTCTTGGAGATGAAACCCACATGCCCCCAAGAGGGGCACACGATGCCAACTTAGAGTTCAGCATCGCATCACTCCTCACCTTCTCCTGGACCCTGCCCTGATTTTCCGAATCTCCCTCCGGCCCTCTGCAGTGGAAATGAGGAGGTCGATGACTCTGATACCAGCAGGCCTGGGGCGTTAAGATGGCTCGAAGCATATCAGTTAGGAAAGGCTCCAGAAGGAAACAGGATTCTACTCTGAAACTGCAAATGAAGGCATTTTAATAAAGGGACTGAAAGGTGTGGGCATCATTGTAAAGGGATTCAGTGAAGGAGAACAAGGTGTCCAGAGTTGAAGAGCAGCAGTACGCCATAGGGGAAGATATTGTCATTGGAATCCAGTGAGGACCACAAGTGCAGAGGAGGGACGACCCAGCCAGCGGCAGAACAATGGCCCAAACAGGAAGGTGACAGGGAAGACATACCCCAACGCCCTCCCTTCCTATCCTGTTACTTTCTGTTAATACTTGCTGAGGACAAGCCAAGTGGCATTTAGAATCCCCGGTAATTCGGTCCCAAGGAGCCAGCATCCCAGGACCCAGGAAAGTCCAGCACATGGGTCTGTACTGGGGAAATGGGAGACAAATGGAAAATAATGGTTCAGTGTCATCAAATGGAAAACAATGGTCATTCCCACAGAGGATGGAGTTGACAGCTATGAGCTGTTCTGATGTTAGGACTGATAAAGACACCACACTACCTACTATTAAGCCTTACCATGTACAATATACTGTTCCCAGGACTTTGCAAGTGTTACCTCACTTAAGCCTCATAGCAACCACATGAAGGAATCACTCTTCTTGTTTTCCACCTTGATAGTAGGTCAATATGCCAGATATAATACACTGATTTTTAGCACCATCTCTGCCTTTCTTAATCTCCCAGGTATTGCAGAGGCTGAAAGCTTAAAAGCTATGTTTCTCAGGATCCCAGCAGGCTTCCAATTTAGATTCTCAGCCAAGTTTTAGGAGGCAGAGGAAACAGAGCAATCATTTTCTCATGGCAGCTGTGTGCAGGCATGCAAATTTTAGCAGATGGCAGTCATGAGGTTTTGCCATTAACTTTGGGTCTTTTCCTGCAAATCATCCTAATTTTCTCATTTGCAGGGGGTTCCAATGATTCCTTTAGTTGACTGAGCTCCTGAAAAGAAGCAACTGATTTTTCTGACCTTGGAATCAAGCACTTTTGATGGTTTTAGAACTATTCATTTTTGTGCATTAAATACCTTTCTGTTTGAGATACATAGGCCATTTTCTATTTTCTTGACAGAATCCTGACTGATAAAGTACCTAGTACTGAAAGTTGCTCCAGGAAATACAACTGCAAAGATGAAGGGAAATCTAAGATTCAGTGTCAGGCATGGATTAGCTTGAGGCCAGTAACGACCTCATGCTAGTGGAAAATGGGTTTCTGGAAAAAGACATTGCATGCAATGTCTTCAGTTATGACCTGTCATTCATGGTATCAATTACTTGTTAAAAGAGACCAAGCACTTTTTTGATAGGATTTTCTGGTGGAAGAGATAAATACAAGGGTTAAAGTTACTGAATGCAATGGAAAATTTACAGAAAACATACAAAACAAAATACCCCGACAATCTCAGGGCTTCAAAATTTCAACTCAGAGGCATAAGTCAAAAGCGTCAGAGAAAGTTCTACAACTGCCTCTGAAAGAATCTCTTATCGTAGTACAAATCAAACCCAGAGTTGTTCCTGCAGGTGGCAGAATTACAACCAAACTTGAATTCACTGCCTCTTTAGGTGCTTATATCAAAGGTGATTAATTGGGAAGGACATTGACCAGGAATATTGCATAGGGACACTTGGGTGTGTTAAGATGAATCAATGTACTTCAAAACCTTAAAGCCCACTGTGCTGCCCTTCCTTTCCTTTCTGGGAATCTAGTCCTTTCTTGCTTGAAGACTTTGTAAAGACTCGTCTGAAGAAAGTACTTTCCCAGGGAATGCGGATTCTCCCACATGCACTACCCCCCATCACCCTCCCATGGCAGTCAGTAGAGTCATCCCAGTAGAATTCATAGAAATCAGTTCAAATCTGACCCAGGAGAAGATAGAAAACACATTAAAAGAACCACAACCTTCTGCTAATATATATTTGTAGAAGCCTGAGGATTATGTGCAAGAATGAATTCTAAGGGACTTAGGAGAGAGACAAAGTAAAATCTGATTTGACTGAGCCAGATTTATCAGTCTAGGTGCACTTAAGAGAAATTCTGAATTCAGTGGTTTACCTAGAGCAGCTGGAGGTAGCTCTGTTTGGTTGAAGGACTAAAACAAATGGCCTACATTAAACGGAATTGCTTTCCAGCATATAAAAGAAGGAATCCAAAGTCTTAGATAAGAATGCCAGAATGAAAGAAGAAGAAAAAAAAGAATGCCAGAATGATTCATAAATTGTGACCTGCTCCCTGATCCTTTAACTCTAGTTTATGAGATTCCTGAGAACACTTTGTGATATCAGGCATTGAAAAACACATCTCCAAGGTGAGCACCAGAATCCCTGGAGGGCCCTGCTGTGGCCATTGTCTGTAGGCTGGGGATAATGTAGCACGTACCCATCTGGTGGAAAATTGATTACCGTCGACCCCTTCCCTCATAGTCAGCAGTTTTTCATCACAGGACTAGACATTTACTTACTCTGCCTATGGATGTGTCTCCCATGCCCACAAGCCTTTGCTGCCCTGTCACACAAAACTTACTAAATGCCTGGTTACTCATCACAGTGGTTTTGCATCTGGCATGACTTCTTACAAACGGATTAAAATGCAACAGAAGTGAGGCGATGCACTTGGTGCCCATGGGATTCACAGATCCTCCCATTGGCCCCACCACCTACATAAGCCGCATGCCTGACAGAACAGTGGAATGGCCCCATGAAGATTATGCAACTGAGCCTGTTGAGATCTCATGACCTGTGAGGCTCCAGGGCTCTTTTACCAAGTACAGTGTCTATTATGAAGCACATTCAATAGGAGCTGATTCATGTGTGGCCACAAAGCTTGGATTTGGGAATCAAGGGATAAGAATGGGACTGGCTTCATTTACAATTGCACCTAATGATCCACACGCAATAAAGTTTTGCTTCTTAACACTGCAACTTTGAGCTCTCGAGATTGAGAAGCCTTAGTTCTCAAGCGAAGAATGCCTCTACCAGGGAATACGATGGATTTATTGCATGGAGAGTTGAGACTGAGACCTGGCCATTTGGAGCTTTTTATACCACTGAGCCAACAGGCAAAGGAGGTTAGTGTACTGGTTGAGAATACTGACCCCAAATATCGAAGAACAGAGATTTGCGCCACACATAGGGACAAGGAGGAATATGTCTGAAATCCATTACATCCTCTGAGGATGCTCTTTGTATTTCATTATCCAAAGGGAGAAATCAGTGGAAAACTATAGCAACCCCATACAGGAAAAACCATCAAGAGCTCAGAAACAAACATCTGGTCACCCCAACAAGTAAAGAACCACAATCAGCCGAGGTTCAAGTTGGAAGAAGGAATTTACAAATGCCAACCGTGGCCTCAGGGTCAGCTGCAGACTTGAGAACAGTTGCAGCTGCCTGGGTTTTCATATGTGTCTTGTTGTGTATTTGTATGTACCAATTTCCCTTTTTTCCTTCCTTTCCCCAAGTGTTCAATGGGTTACATTGAGATTGTGCTGGCCATGGAGGAGGTGTACCTCCCAGATCTACTTCAAAAGAACCTGCTGCAGGAAGCATAGTGGGTGATGGCCTTCACCTACTCCTCCTCCAGATCCATCATAGCAGTCAGACCAACACTGCTCTTCTATGGAGTGGCTGAGAGTGGCAGGGGCCACTTTTTCTTGGGCCATTACTGTTCAACCTTCCACCATTTGCTCAGGAACTCCCATCAACCTGCTCCAGACTTTCTCAGACCTGCAATGGGGTCTGAAAATGCTCTGCCTCCTCCTGTTCCCAATAGTCTTTATCCTTGCCAGGCATTTCCCCCAATAAATCTCTTTCACTTATGATTCAGTCTCAGCATCGACTCTTGGAGGACCCAAACTGACAGGGATGTGAAGCTGGGAGTGTGATTAAACAAGGAGGGCTGATTCTCACTTGAAGATGGATATGATGATTTATGAGACTGTTCAGAGGATCAGAGTGTTCTGTTTGTGTGGAGGATAGTTACATTGTATTAGGAGCATGCTGTTGTTACTATTCTTGTTTTCTAGAAATTGTAATGAAGAAGGTTGTGCGCATACACAGAGCAGCCAACTTGGTAGGCTTGCTAGATGGTGTCTATAGACACTCAAAATCCAGTTCCCCTAAATTCTAATTCCATATTTCTGGGTCATGTTGCAGCTGCCTTACTCTAGTATCCTGGCTATGATTTGGGGTCCAATGAGATGCACTCACTAATATCTGCAATGTACAACGCAGACAGTAGCAGTGCCAGCTAAAGCTGAGCTCTGGTAGAGTTGGATTTTTACAGTGACCTAACTCTTCAGTGTGATATTTCCTCCTGGTCATCAGCTACAGTCTGAGGCAGGCTGGGGGAGAGAAGGTAGCCATGTTTCCCACCACCTCCCAACCATTGGCTGGGGTACCATCCTCTTGGCCTCAGGTCACAGACAAAATGACGTGACCTCATAAAATCCCTGGCAAGCTGGAGGAGCAGCCCTGCAAGCAAGGCTCATGCCTGTAATCCCAGCACTTTGGGAGGCTGAGGTGGGCGGATCACGAGGTCAGGAGTTCAAGACCAGCCTGGCCAACATGGTGAAACTCCATCTCTACTAAAATACAAAAACTAGCCAGGCGTGGTGGCGGGCGCCTGTAATCCAAGCTACTCAGGAGACCGAGGCAGGAGAATCACTTAAACCCAGGAGGCAGAGGTTGCAGTGAGCTGAGATTGCGCTGCTGCACTCCAGCCTGGTTGACGGGCTAGAGTCTGTCTAAAAAAAAAAAAAAAAAAAAAAAAAAAAAAAAAAAAAAAAACCATAGAGGTCTGTTTACTAACCTAGAGCTGCTCTATCCTTTCATCCTTGTTCCCCTTTCAACCGTCTCTTGCAAGTACTAGTTTTGCCATTAAATGCACATTTTGTTTTGCAGAATGAGAAGAGCTTATAAATACTTCAATTTTTCTGTTTCTGTTTCACTCCTTTCCATTTCTTTCTACAAATTACAGTAAAAATTTAAAGATATAAAATGATATAAATAACACCATAACATAAAACACTGCAGAGTCAAGGCCCTCTGAGGATCTCTCATTTCTTCCAGCCATACGAATATCCTGAACTTTGCATTTCTTTTCCCTTTGCAGTTGCTTAGTTTTTTCTACATCTGAATATATCCTTACACGTCTTTAAAATTTATAGAAATGTCACACTGAATACATTTTTCTGTAACTTGCCTTTGCACTGCATTGTGAGATTAAGCTATGTTGATCTGTTTAACTCCAGCTGATGTATGTAATCACCTGCTAATGACATTCTGTTGTTATAACAAAATTTATTCAGGTCTCTGATAATGAGTATCTAGATTGGTTTGTCTTTTTATTTATGAAGTTAGCAACTGTGTGCTTCTAATTTTTTATTATAAACTATGGTGCTACGAATATTCCTGTATATGCCACCTTCAAAATTTTAAAATTTTAAGTGTTTTAAAATTCAGTCATGTCAGGATACATTCTGAGAAATGTATGGTTAGGCAATTTCATTGCGAGGCACACAATATGGAATGAATGTATGCAAACCTAGATGGCCAAACCTACTACACACCCAGACCATATGGTATAGCATGTTGCTCTGACCACCATCATATATGCAGTTCATCACTGACCAAAATGGCATTCTGTGGCACATGCCTGTATTAAAACTTGGGAGAAGTGAGTCCATGTCTCACTTCTGGGGGCTGGTGTAGATGCTACCCCATAGCAGATGCTCCACAGATGCTTGTGTGAGGATGGAAAGGGAGAGAGGAGAGAGAAGAAAGAGAAGGAAAAAGGGTGGGTCCAAAGCTTAGCAATCAGGTTTATCACCAGTAAACATGGTGGCCAGCAGCATTTGAGACCCCAGTCCTAGCAAAAAGGGGTACTGAGGAACCCACACCAGGGAGCGTCTCGCAGATCCTGAGATTACAGTGTAGGCTCTCCCCTCCTTTTCTGTCTCCTCCTGGATCCATGGAATAAATTGAGCTACAGACACAAACATACCAGGTCTCCCCCTGGAGCCAGCTCTTATGCCCCAGCTGAAGACACCCACTTGGAAGAGTCTCTGGGTTCCATAAATAGCACAGACCAGAGGTGCCCCGCTGTCTCCCTGGAAGGAGAAAAGGAAGAACAGTCTGCAATCAGTGGTACCTCCAGCAAAAGCATGGAGGGGAAAAGGGGAAGGTCCTCGTGTTGTAGGCTAGGGGTCCCCCATTTGGGAACCTAGAAAGTGTTGGAGTACGTGGAAGGAGGAGGGGGCTGGGCAAGGGTTGAGTACCTTGCAGATGCCATTGGTGCCTGGTTCCTTCCAGGCACAAATCATGTTCTTGGAGAGCTGGGTTACCCTCTTGGCGCATTCTTTCTGGCTAATCTGTACCACTCTCAGCTTTTCCAGGTGCATGTTTAAGTCATCATATTGGTCTGAGAAACGGAGGAAGCTGGCATGAGAGCAAGCCCTGCATCAGCCATCAGCAGCGACCAGCCCACACGTGATCAGCATGGAAGACTGAGAGGCCACCAGCGTCCAGCAGATCACAAATTCACAGGGCGGGGAGACCTGGGGTGACTTCAGTCTCCTCTCCAGCAGCCCCACCGAGCAGTTTCTCTACTAAATGTGCTTCCTGTGGGAAGCTCACTCCCTCCAGAAGCAGCCCACAAAAGCCCCAGCCTCAGTCCCTGCCAGGGAAACTTAGAATGAAGGTCCTTCCTGCTCCCACCACCTCTCCACAGCCAGGCTTTATCCCATGCAGAGGATCAGAGCAGCCCAGCCTCTGAATTGGTGTTGGCCAGCATCTTCACCAAGCCAAATGGAGAAACCAAGAAAACACACCTGGTCATGCCATTTTGTCAGAAGGAACTGACCACAATGCTAAGGGAACTCCTGGCCTTCTCCTCACTACACTCCCACCCTCCCAGAGATCCCTAGCCAAGCAGCCTTGTGCCCAGAGGGAAAGGGGTGGAGTCATCGGTAATGGAGCTTAATTGGAGAATCACTGTCTTACAGCTATACATGGGGTGGCCAACAGATGGGGAGATGGCCATCATGAAACAGCCACAGGTGGGAAGATCCAAACTGGCTTATTATGCTTTTGGCCCCACAAAAATGATCATCGCTCTCCTATTTTGAGATTCTTCTATGTCCTAGGCTTTTACTGGGGACCTCACTTAATTTAATCCCCATAACTTATTTGAGGAGGCATTCCTGACATGCTGCAGGTGAGAAAGCTGAAGGTGAGGAAGGTGAAGGAGCTCAAGAGAGAGAAAACCACAATTCAGACCCGAGCCTTCCCACACCCAAAGCTTCATGCTCTCTAGCCCGGGGCACCCTACATTTGGGCTTTCTATGGGTACTGAAGAGAGGGCACATACCATACCCATTGGTTGTTACCCACTCTGCCATCCAACACCGGTCCCAGGTCCTCTCCTCCTCCTGCAGGCAGACAGGCATTTTGAAATTGGTGAATTGCACTGGCGTGGCGAGTAGAAGCAGAGAGAGGTCACTGTCGAGATGGGGTGGTTTGTAATCTTTATGAATAATGACCTTCCGCACTTGCTTTCTCTCTGAATAGATGTTGCTGAATGTTCTTGTTCCCATGACCACGGTGACATTTACCACTGCCATGTCTAATCTAAAGAATGAATACGAAAACACCAATCCTAACAAGGGTGACAGTGCAATTCACATTCGTAGACACAGTTGTAAACAGTGAGTTCACAACTAACTAAGGAGAAGTCCAGAGCAGTGGGTGAGCTACGGTGATCCAGAGCAGGGCTAGGACCAGATAGATAGGAATCAGGGGCTCATACTCTGAAAAATCTCTGAACCAGTGGGTTGTCAGCCCAGGAAAACTCCCCTGACCAAAAGAAGAGATTGTGAACTCTTTGAGGACAGGGACCTTGGCAGTCTTGTCAACTCCTATGTCCCAGCACTTGGAACAGTACATAGTAGGTGCTCAATGGGAAGGTGTTCAATCAGGGACTCCAGTGTGCTGTCTTCATACACAGATGACAGACAGGAGAGTGTACTGATATACTGGGTGGGTAGCTCTGACTAGCAGCCCACCTTTGGATATAGTTGGCTAAATAAAGAAGAGAGAGTGGGTGTAGGCAGAGACACTGAAGTACAAAGCCAATTCAACACTCTGCACAGAGAACCTAGGGCTTCACAGGCCTGCGCACCGGCCTATTGATCTGCCCAGCCCAGACAATACGTTGACAAGACAGGATGTAAATGAGGATACTTACAGGGTTCTTGAGAAGCAGTGTGCAGCTGTCAGAACCCACCACCGGTGTATGATTGAGCCTCCACAGAGGTGTTTCTGAGACATCTGGATACTCACTTGCCACGGGAACTCACCATTCTGGACTTGAAGCCGCTCATGAAATGGTAGCCACGAGGAGTTTGGAAAGGCAGGCCTGTAGCCACATTGAACGTTTTCTGAAAGAGAAAGGAAAGAGCCATTTGTACATGAGAAGCACAGAGAGGCCCCTATCCCTTATTCCCAGAATCTTCCCAGCTAAGACCAGTGCTGAAAGCTGAGTGAGGGGCCACAAGCAGGCTGAGGATGCGGGGAGCTCAGAAAACACCAGCAATCTGCATCCTTGTCAGTGTCCATTCCTCACAGCCACAGAGGACTGGGAGACATGGGGAGTCTGGGCAGGGCTCCGTCAGAGGCACACGGGGTTACGGTGGCCATGGGGATGCGCCAAAGATACACAGCGTCCACTCAGGAGATGGAAACCTTGCAGTGACTTGAACAAGGAAAGTTTAACAGGAAGAATCACAAACGAGGGAATGACTACAAAGCATCAGGAGCACTCTACGATACAGCAGGGCAGGAGGAGAGTATCTGAGGAGGAGCCAAATTTGGCAGGGGAGCCCCTACCCAGGAACGGGACTCACAACACATTGGAGAACGTATGTGCAGCCCAGTGGAAGGCAAAGACATTTGCCTGGTTGCTCCAGGCCAGAGTTGATCCCCTTTCACTAGAGAAGCAGAAAGAATCCCTCTGGAGTGCAGGTGGCCAGGACTGGTGCAGCACACAGGTGCCTGCAGGGAGCTTGTCAGGAGCCTGCCCACTGGCTAGGGGGTGCAAGACCTGGGATGTGTGTGTCCGCCTTGGGATGCCGCAGTGAGGAGGTACAGAGGGCTCAGGGGGTTTTGAGGCTGATCCAAGGGAAAGATATGACCACAAGGCGGTAGCAGCACACACGTTTCATTTGGGAAATGCTCTGGGAGGCTGCACGCAGGGGAAGCCCTTTACAGCCTGATACTATGTGGAGGTTACAGCAACACCATCCAGAAGAGGAAGAGGACAAGGGAACTTCTAAGGAAAGAGGACTCTGACAGGGGGCTTACTTGTCCGGGTGATGTGGTTCACTGGCACTGTGGGGAGTCTCTGGGTCAGAGAGCTCCCATGGGTGGCAGTGGCTTGGGGTCTGTTAGAGCCACAGGCTTCATGTTACCTGTGGTTAGCAGATGTTGGGTGCAGTTTCACAGAGTATCCAAAGAAGGTGAGCTTTAGATGGCTAAACATCTGCTTATTTAGATTATGTTCAAAATAGCTGGATGTGTAAAACCTTGAGTTTGACACCAGCAGGCTTTTGAGCTAATGAGAAGACTGCCATGAAGAAATTGGCAAGCTAAGGGCCATCCTTGGCTCATTTGTAGAACAGATAACTGAACAGGGGACAGGGCTTGAACTCACTGAGAGAAGCATGGCGGAGCTGAGCACCAGCAAGCATTCCTCACATGCTGTGGGCAACCACACCACAGGGCAAGAAGCAGCAAACAGAAGCATGCTGGACTGGACTGGAAAGAAAGGCCCTTTCCACCTGCAGTATCCTTCCAGCATCTAATGCTGAGAAAGCTTAATGTTGTGCTTGCTATAAAGAAAAATTTCTTAGAGGGTCCAGCTGCATTATTGCAGAGCAGGTAATGAAGGATGGGTTTGGATCTCAGAGGCAATAAATTGTAGGACCCGGGATCTAAAGCAAGCCTGCAGGGGGCTGGGGGGCACAAAAGACATGCACAGTAAAGGACATGGTCACTGTGGCCACCAGTCTCCAGCAAATTCCATTCCCTGAAGGACTGCTGGCAACAACCCAGGAAAATGAGAAGCAAAGAGAGATTTGGCACAGACATAATACATATGTATTCTTTTTTAAAGGGACAGGGATAGGAAAAACAGCAACATTTACTAGATGAAATTCTAACTAGGAAAATGTTACCCAGAACAAATAAAAAAAATCTGAGTAGATATTTTGCCATAAATCATTTAAAAAAGCCTTATAAAGCAATCATCTATGTGAAAGAAAATTATAAATTAGAAACTACAGGGAGAAGTTATAAGAAAACACAAGGAGAAAATGGGAAAACAGGAGATAAGGCATGAGCTGGCAGACATCAGGCTAGAAATGAAAAAATGAAATGACAAAAATTCCTTGGACAGCATAGTAAGGGATAAAGAGTAGAGAAGCAATGAAAATAAATGAAAACAGAGTTTAAAAGAGAGATTTTTGTGTGAATGTAATTTTTAATTTTGGGGGGATAAATACCTAGATAGGGACTGCTAGGTCACGTGGTCAGTGCACACCCAACCGTTTACAAAACTGCCCAATTGCTTTTCACATGACTGCACCATTTTGCATTCCCATCAACAATGAATAAGAGCTCCAGCTGGGTGCAGTGGCTCACGCCTGTAATCCCAGCACTTTGGGAGGCCGAGGCAGGTGGATCACCCGAGGTCAGGAGTTGTTTGAGACCGGGCTGACCTTCATGGTAAAACCCTGTCTTTACTAAAAATACAAAAATTAGCTGGACATGGTGGTTCAGGACTGTAGTCCCAGCTACTCCAAAAGCTGAGTCAGGAGGCAGGAGATTCACTTGAATCCAGGAGTCAGAGGTTGAAGTGAGCCAAGTTCGCACAACTGCACTCCAGCCTGGGAGACAGAGCAACATTCCGTCTTAAAAGAAAAAAAACAACAACACTGGGTAAGAGTCCCTATCACTTTACCTCCTTGTCAACACTTGGTGCTATCAGAAGTTTTTATCTTAGCCATTGTAGCAGATGCATAGGAATGTTTATTGCAGGGTGCTTCACAATCCTCCAATCTGGAAATATCCAAATATTCCTCAATGGGTGAATGGATAAGTAACTGTAATCTATCCACATGATGGAATACCACCCAGAAGTAAAAATCAAAAGGAACTACTGGTGCATGCAACACCAGAGGAATCTCAAATGTGTTACGCTAAGTCAGAGAACCCATGCTCAGAAGGTCACATATTGTGTAGGGTTCTATTTGTATGGCATGCTGGAGAAGACAAAACCCTAGGCATGGATAACAAGACAGTGGCTACCAGGAGTTGGGAGTCAGGGAGGGGTGAGTACAAGTGAGCAGACAGAGGGGATTTGGGGGAGTACTTAAAATTTCAGTATCTTGTCTACAGTGCAGGTAACACGAATCTATGCATGTCTAAAAGCCCCATAGAATGGTACATCAAAACATAAATTTTACTCTTTATAAAAAGTTAGAAAAGTCATAGCTAGAGAATATAGGCAATGACTATTCCTGAATTTTAAACGACATATAAAAATAAGAACAGATGAACATCTCCTTAACATGATAAAGTGTATCTATCTTGGCCTGAAAGTGAGTAGCATGCTGACTGGGGAAAAGCTAGAAGCATCCCTGTGGAGTCAAGAACAACGAGGATGTCCACGACCTCTACTAATTCTTACCATTGTACAGGCAGCTAGGAGGAGATGGTGATAGATTTTGAGCAGAGAAACCCCAGAGGAGCCCTCTGCCACCGTGTTAGATTATGGCTGGAGTGGGTGGGAACAGGCACACAGGAGGAGAGTAAGACAGGGCTTCCATCCAGAAGAGTCTATGAGGGGCCGGGCGCTGTGGCTCAAGCCTGTCATTTTAGCACTTCGAGAGGCCGAGGCAGGCAGATCACATGAGGCCAGGAGTTCAAGACCAGCCTTGCCAACATGGCAAAACCCCAATTCTACTAAAAACATAAAAATTAGCCAGTTATGGTGGTGGGCACCTGTAGTCCCAGCTACCCCAGAGACTAGGCAGGAGAATTGCTTGAACCCGGGAGGTGGAGGTTGCTGTGAGCTGAGATCACGCCACTGCACTCTAGCCTGGGAGACAGAGCAAGAGTCTGTCTCAAAAAAAAAAAAAGAGTCTCTGACTGGACCAGGGATCATGGTTCGCTTAAAAATGGGACACATTCTGAGAAGTGTGTGGTTAAAGGCAAGCATCACAGAGTGAACTTACACACACCTAGATGGCCTAGCCTGCTGCACACCTAGGATGTATGGCATAGCCTATCGCCCCGGCTACAATCCCATACAACAGGTCACTGTACTGAGTATTACTGGCAACTGTAACACACGGGTATTTGCATATCTAAACATAGAGAAGATACAGTAAAAATAGGATCTAAAAGATAATACAGTGCACTTGTCCAAGGCGCCTACCATGAATGGAGCTTGCAGGGCTGGAGGTTGCTCTGTGTGAGTCAGTAAGGGAGCAGCAGTGAGTGAATGTGAAGGCCAAGGACACGGCTGTGCGTGGATGTAGACTGTGAACACCGTACACTTAGGCTACGTTACATTAATAAAGAATTTTTTCTATCTTCATTAATAAACTAATCTTAGCTTCTGTAACTTTTTAACTTATAAACTTTTATTTTTTAATCTCTTAAAATTCTTTTGTAATAACATTAGCTTAAAACACACATTATACACTATAAACATATTTTGTTTCTTTGTATCCTCATTTTATGAGCTTTTTTATTGAAAAAAAATTAATTATATTTTACTTTTTAAACTTTTTTTAAAGAAGCCAGGACACAAACACACACATTAGCCATTCATAGACACATCAGCCTACACGCGGGTCAGGACTGTCAGTATCATGGTCTTCCCTCCACCTCTTGTTCCACTGGGGAGTTTTAGGGGCAAGAACATGCATGGAGCGGTCATCTTCTGTGACAACAGTGCCTTCTTCTGCAGGCCTCCTGAAGGACCTGTCTCAGGCTGTTTTACAGTCACTTATAAGAAGAAAGTATACTTTAAAATTACCAAAAACATAGGGTAATAAATACAAAAATCAATAACATAATTGCTTCTTATCATTATCAAGTACTATTTGATGTGCATAATTGTATGTGCTGGACTTACATACAACGGGCAGTATGGGAGGTCTGCTAACAGCACCGCTGACACGTGAGTGATGGGTGATGCTATAGTGACAGCTACGTCGTCACGAAGGGATGGGAATTTTTCAGCTCCATTGTAATCTTGGGGGACCACTGTCGTATATGCAGTTTGCCATTGCCCCAAACGTTGTTTGGCAGCCCCTGACTGTATTTCAAGTTGAGGGTGTGATCTTGCCCGGATCCTTCATGATACTTACCCAGGGTCCCACATGGTTTTATTCCCCCAAGGATCTGCTCTGAAAGGTCATTTCTCTACCTCTGTGCTCCCAGGGCTTCACCTATGGACTTGTTTAAAGTTCATTTTAAGTATGATATTTACCAATTGTTTTTGTAAAGAAGTTATTTAAGTATTAAGGATATCTGAACATCCTTTTTTTCTGAAAAAAACAAAAACAAAAAAACCTGTTTTTCAGTGCATGATACTCAGCTCACCCAATGTATCAATGTCTTCTGTTTTGATGTTTGGAAGTGAAAATTCGTTACTTGATTAAACCTTTTCCTTTTTCATTTCTTCATATGGCTGAAATGCTTAGAGAGTCATGATCTTTTCTAAGAAATTATTACAGAAGCGTCTTTTGAAGGAATCTGTTAGTGTCTATCTGTCACGATTTTCATCATTTGCTCTAATAATCTGTTTAAGAAAAGAAGCATCAGTGATGTTATACCACTAGAATGTAAATTCAATAAACATAGGTTGCCAAGGACACCAAGTTTATGACAATAAATTAATAGATATTTATGTCAGAAGATGTCACTTTGCAGCATTAGAATGCAGTAACATCATCAGGAGAATAACTTAGGACTCATGTTTTGTTCATTCGGGGTGGATATTTCTCGTCCTATCTCGTGCCCCAGGTTTTCATTTTTCTAATTCCTGGCTTGAAATTTAAATCAGAGTAGAAAGGGTCTTCCCTATTTCTAACAGCTCCGCACTTGATCTCGTTTTCTCCCAATTCTCTCTGCATTGTCTCCTCCCCATCTCTGCAAAGCTTCTCGAATTCCCAAGTGAACACGTATCCAGGGAGGATGCAAGTCCACCTGGAGCTCTAATACCAGCTTAGCATGAATGTGTAGCAATAGCTGCTGTTACAGATGCCTGGCTGGTTTCAATTTTGGTTGTTACACTGAAACTGAGTGGCAGACATTCTCCACCAATACAAAAATAGACAATTGTTTGTTTTTATAATGAAGATTTAAACCAAATCTGAATTCAGTGCCCAAATTCAGTGCCAAATCAAAAGAGTTTATTCAATTCTCAGAGCTCACAGCCACCAAGTTTAAGAACCCATGGGCTAACTGGTTGCAGCGGTAGAACTGGTTAACAGTCTTGGTCATG